AATATATTCTAAAGGACCTTCAGATGAATAACTGTGGATTTTAAAGGATATATTTAGGGGACATATCCTGGATGGTATATATATATTTTTAAATAATTTTTTTGAAGAATATTTTTTAAAAACCATCGGAGAATTTGTATAAAAAATTTGTTGAAGGACCACAAGACAGCAATATTAAGGATGCTTAAGGATATTATTTCAACTACCCCAAAAACATTAGGTTTTTATGAATATTTTTCGTTGGACTATTCGCAGGTCCTTGAAGGATTTTTTTCATGGATATTCCCAGGATTTTTTATAAATATCGTTTGAAGGACCTTCAGACAGTAATACTGAATTTTAAAAGATATTTTTTCAAGGATACCCAAAAACTTTATATTTTTCGAAAAAATATCCGTAGTTCCTTTGAAAATATTATTTCAAGAATTACCGCTCAAGTAGCTGTGGTCTTGAAACAAAATTTTTCAAAAATCTTCCGAGAATATTAAGGAATATTTTTAAAGGAACATTTCTGATCCAGAGTTAGAACTACTCGTCGACAATGATGAAGTCCTTTATATTTGTGATGATTTTACCCACTCGCCTTTTTCTGCGTAAAGTAAAATTTCTCAGAAATAAAAATCAAAAAATTAAATTTTCTAAGAAATAAAAATCCTGATCTCTAGCCATATGCTCCTTGTCTTAGAGTTATCTCTAAGTCCTTGAGGAAACTTTTCCAACAAAAAAAGTTTTGATCTGCTATATATTGATGCTGAAAAACTTTAATTGTCCTGACCGATCCCTACCAGAAAACTTATTAAGAGAGAGAGGTATTTATTGGATCTTTTTGCAAATAATATGGACTTCAGCTTCGCCTTGACAAAGAACACTGCTATGAGTTTATTTTCCCATTTAACAACATTTACCTTATCCCTTTTTCTCTCTAAGGATCATACAATAACATCTCCCCTCCCCACCCCCTGCTGCAACAACATCCAAATCATAAACAAAAAAACAAAAAGCCCCAAATGAGCAAAATGTCAATACGAATAAAATAAGGATCGACAATTTAAACTGTAATATCCTTTTACAATGAAATAACTCACTCTTACTTTCAACGGTGGGGGTTTTGCTTGTTTACGACATTTCTGTCCCTCACCATGCCTCTCCCCACACCCTCATCAGGGTGTTGATTTCACTATCAGCTTGCCAAAATTTATTTAGACATTATTTTCCGCCATAAACAAGCGGATATCTACGAAACAAAAGAAAGAATTGTAAAACAACAAAAAATCAGACACACAGACACAAATAAACGAGCCGTTGTGATCCTTTCCTTGGCATTTTATTCGATTTTCACTTATCACTGATGGCGCAACGGAAACAGGATATGTTTACACAAGATTGTCTACGACATAAGGATTGTAAGCAACACAGAAAAAGGATATGAGTTTATTTGGTCACAGAGGAGAGTGGGGAGAGTTGAGGGAGGCAGCCATGAAACGGATATGTGAAATGGAGCTGACTTCTTTTAAATAACTGTCTGTCTGCCGTACTTCCATTGCCAAATCTAAGAGATTTGCACAAAAAAACCGATCCACAGAGACGACTATTTACAGCCATCACCAAAATTGGCTAGAATGTTGCAGAAAAGCGTTGTGATGACTGTTTGGATTATTGGCCGAAATGTTTATGACAACATTCATTGTTATTTTGGCTTGGATTGTGTCGTAAGATTCCCAAAATTAAAGAAATAATCCACAGGAGATTCACAGGACATAAAAAAGGATTTAAATACATTTTTAAATTTAAATGCGGGATGAGAAGAAGAGAAGAATTCCTATGAGATTGAAGGGGAAGAGATTGAAGGCTTAATATCCTTGATAAAAAGGAATGGATTCGGGCTGGGCTTTTCCAAGGAAAGGTGAAAAATAGAATTGTATATATTTTTTAAAAGATTTTTAGACCTCAAATGGTACATTTCTGAGGAATATTTTTTGAGGGACCTTCAGATCAAAAATTTTGGATTTTAAAGGAATAGCCTTTAAAGGTCCTTAAGACCAATAATTTTAAATTTTAAGGAAATATTTATGGATGGACCGCTAGGCCAACAAAAGTAGATTTTGAAGGGAATTTTTTTCAAGAATCTTCAGACCATAAATCGTGAATTTTAATGAATCTTTTTGAAGGACTTTAAGGTCAATTTCCGTGTATTTTTAAAGGGCCTTCAGATCAATAAACTTGGGATATAACGACAAATGATGAAATACCCTCAGACAAATAATCTTGAGTTTTTAGTAATAGTTTTCGAAAGACATTCGGGCCAAAAATTGGTGGCTTTAAGGATTATTTTTTGAAGGATTTTCAGACCAATAATCAAGGACTTTTAAGCAATTTTTTGATACACTATCAGGTCAATGATCGTGGATGTTTATTTTTCCAAGAACCTTTAGATGAATAATCGTGGATTTTTAAAGGGGCTTCTGACCAATAATCCTGGATTTTTAAAGGATTTTTTTTTTCGAGGAGAATTCATGTCAATAATATTGGATTTTTAAGGAAGCACCTTAAGCCCACCCAGTGCGGATTTCGGAAGAGTATTTTTTTAAGGACCTTCATACCAATAATAGTTAATTTTCAAGGAATATTTTTTGAAGCACTTTTAGGTCCATAGTCGTGGTTGTTCATGGACAATTTTTCAAGGACCTTTAGATGAATATTCGTGGATTTTTAAAGGAAGTTTTCTTGAAGGACCTTCGGACCTTTAAGGACATTCAGATCAATAATATTGGATTTTTAAGGAACCTTAAGACCACTTAGCGTTAATTTCGACAAGTATTTTTTGAAGGACCTTTATACCAATAACAGTTGATTTTTTAGGGATATTTTTCGAAGGACCTATCAGTGATTTTTAAGGATTTTCTTGAAGAGTGGATAGTGGATTTTTGTAATATTTTTAAGGACTTTCAGACCAATAATCGTAGAATTATTAAATATTATTTACAAGGATGTTTTTATTCCTCCCAAGGACTTTCAGACCAATATTTGTGAATTTTTAAAAATTTTATCCAAGGACTTTCAGGCTAATAATCGTGGATTTTTTGAATAATTTTCCAAGGAATTTTAGACCAAAAATATTAGATCTTTTAAATAGTCTCCGCAAGGACTTTCAGATAGTTTAAATATTTTTTAGAGGACTTTCAGACCAGCAATCGTGAGTTTTTCAAATATTATTTCCAAGGATTTTCAGACCAGTAATTGTGGATATTTCAAATATTTGTCCAAGGACTTTTAGACCAAAAATAGTGTTATTTTTTCAAATACTTTTTTCAGGGACCAATAATAGTGGAATTTTAAAATATTTTTTCCAAGGACTGTCAGAGCAATAATGGTGGATTTTTTTAAATATTTTTTTCCAAGACCCAATAATCGGGGATTTTTTTTTAAATTTTTTTTCCAAGGACCAATAATCGTGAATATTTAAAAATAATTTTTCCAAGGACCAAAAAATATTTTTTTCAAAGACCAAAAAATTATTCAAAAGAAAATCAAGCACCAAAAATCGTATATTTATAAAAAATATTTTTAGAGATAAAAAATCGTGGATTTTTAGAAAAATACTTCTTCAATGGCCAATCGTGGATTAAAAGAAAAGTACTTTTTAAGGACCAATAATCTTTTTAAGGACCAATAATTTATAAAAATATTCTTTCAAGGACCAATAATCGTGGATTTAAAAAATACATATACTTTTCAAGGACCGAAAATTGTGGATTTATGAAATATATTTTATCAAGGACCAATAATCGTTGATTTAAAAAAAACTCAAGGATCAATAATCAAGAATTTATAAAATATATTTTCTCAATGACCAATAATCGTAGATTTATAAGAAAATATTGTTTTTAAGGACCAAAACTCGTGGATTTATAAAAAAATGAAGTTGATTTATAAAAAAGAATTCAAGGGTCAAAAATCGTGGATTTATAAAAAAATGAAGGACCAGTAATCGTTAATTAATTAAAAAATTAAAGACCAATAATCGTGGATTTATAATAAAGTCAAGGATCAATAAAAAAATAATTTTTTAGGGACCAATAATCGAGATTTATAAAAAAATTTATTCAAGGATCAATAAGCGAGGATATATAATTTTTTTAATCAATAATCGAGGATTCATAAAAAATGTTTTTAAAGACATTCAGATTTTTGTTTTAAAATTTTTAAGGACATTTAGATTTTTTTTTTTGTAATTTTTTTTTAGGGCCTTCACATTTTTTTTTAATCTTTTTAAGGACCTTCCGATTTTATATTTTGAAATATTTTTATGGGCTTTCAGATTTTTTTTAATATTTTTAAGAACCTCCAGATTTTTCATTTTAAATATTTTAAGGACCTTCAGATCAATAACCGTGAGTTCTTCAATATATTTTTTTAAGGTAAAAAATCATGAATTTTTTGTAAAATATTTTTTCAAGGACCTTCAGATTTTCGTTATAAAATTTTTAAGGACACTTAGATTTTTTTTGTAATTTTTTTGAGGGCCTTCACATTTTTTTAAAATATTTTTAAGGACCTTCAGATTTTTTATTTTGAAATATTTTATGGGTTTTTAGATTTTGTTTAATGTTTTCAAGAACCTTCAGATTTTTCATTTTAAATATTTTAAAGACCTTCAGATCAATAACCGCGAATTCTTCAACACATTTTTTAAGGACTAATAATTGTGGCTTACTGTAAAATATTTTTTCAAGGACCTTTTGACCCATGCATGATTTTAGAAAATTAAGGGACCAAAGATGGAACAATAACCGTGGATCTATTTTTTTTTTTAATATTTTTCACAGGACTTTCCAATAACAACAAAAATTCACTCATTTTCGTCTTCATCTTCGAACTACCCCAAATAAAAAATTATCTCTTTTTTTAATTCACCACAATTTCCACTATTTTCTCTTCTTCTTCGTCTTTATTTTATTTTTATAAAATTTCAATATTATCACAATGATTTCATTTGTAACTAACTTTTCCAAAATATATTTTTTATTTTTCTTAAAATCATTTAAGGCACATTTCATAAGAATGATTCGCAAAAAATTCGCCCAATTCAAAACTATGCACTACTTCTAACGTCTTTTGGCTCCCTCGAAATTCCATCCTTCTACTGATACTCTCCACTAATTTGGGAGATATCATCCGTCATGCCGTTGTCATAATCATCCAAATCCACAACATTGAAATCCATATTGGCCGTTGAAATCAGGGTTCTATTGTCATAGCCATGGCGATGACCTGGCCTATTCAATTCCACCGAGAACGGAGTTCTGCTGGATCCATCTTGGGGTTTGGCACCTCCGGGGGCAGGGGGTGCTGCCTTCTTCATGGAGGATAATTTGCCAGCCGACAATGTCAATTCTTCAATTTTCTTGGATTTTTGAGAAGAGCCTGCTGCCACATTTTCAGGTTTTCTAGATTTGTGACTAACCGGTGGCCCCTGGTTGGGCGCCAAATTTTTGTTCCTCTGTATTTCTGGTGCTGTTTGAGATCTTGTTGTCACCGTTTTGCTGGCTGGGGATTTTGTTCGAGCCGATGGCTGGCTATCCTTCAAATTTGACTTGGCTTCTGTACCGGGTGGGGTCTTTTGATATTGGAGGAACTTCTTTTTCACCTCTTCCACATTTGGGCGGTTGCCGGAGCTTGACTCGCTGGACAATTCCTCGCTAATTTGATTCAATAACTCCAAGAGGGTTTCGGCTTTTTCATCTTCAAACTCCACGGCAATGGGGGAGTCACGACCCGAGACATGGTCGGGGGTGTGGAGTATTAACCTGAAAGAAAATAAACATTTAAAAAATCTCTCCAAAGGTCCTCTCAATTTGACGTACTTCTTAGCTTCCTCAATGGCCTTGTTAAGCTGTTGCAAATTCTTCGCCGAATCCTGATTGGAGCGTCCAATTTGTGAGTTCTTCAGCGTGCCCTGTATCACCACCGTCCATTTGTGAGCCGTCGACTGGGCTGCCACCTGCCTTGCTACTCTTTGGAATTTCTGTTTCGGCGTTTCATTGAGTGGCCGAGACGCCTCCTTTTCGATCTTGATTTCATTCATATCACCGGCTCCGTTCACGTTGCCATTATTCCTTATTATTGCCTTCTCATCGTTGACATTTTCCACGGGACCCAATTGGAAGCCCTTCATAAGGCGCCGTTCCCAGACTTTGGTCTTCTTGGCACGACAGGCTAGGAAAATAAAGAGTTTTTCCCATTAATTTAATGGCTTATGGAGGAAGGATATTTGCATAAGGAAGATAAGGACAAGAATACAGGACCTTAGCTCAGAGATAATGGTTCCGACCGGCCCTTATCTCCCAGATACTGATCCTCACCGGCCATTACCTTAATGATAATGATTCTGAGCGGCAGTTACCTCTGAGATAATAGTCCTGACCGGCCTTTATCACCAAGATAATTGACCCGATTATCTACGAGGCAATCTTCCTGACTGTCCATTATCTCCGAGATAACCAACCTGACAGGTCATTATCGTCGAGATAATCGTCCTGACAGGCTATTATCTCCGAGATAATTGTCCTGACCGTCCATTATCTTCGAGATAATCATCGTAACCGGTCATTATCTCCGAGACAATCTTCCAGACCTTCCATTATTTCCGAGATAACCAACCTGTCCGGCCATTATCTCCGAAATAAAAATCCTGACAGGTCATTATCTTCGAGGTAATCGTCCTGGCGGGCCATAATCTCCTAGATAATGGTCCTGACCATCCATTATTGGCGAGATAATCGTCCTGACCGGTCATTATCTTCGAGATAATCATCCTTACCGGCCATTATCTCCGAGATAATGGTCCTCACCGGCCATTATCTCCGAGATAATATTCCTGACAAGTCATTATCTTCGAGATAATCCTCCTAACCTGCCATTATCCACGAGATAATTGTCCTGACATATCTTTTCTTCGAGATAGTCGTCCTGACGGGCCAAAATCTCCGAAATAATGGTCCTGACCGGCCATTATCTCCGAGATAATAGTCTAGACCTTCCATTATTTCTGAGATAACCAAACTGACCGGTCATTATCTCCGATAAAATAATCCTGACAGGGCATTATCTTCGAGGCAATCTTCTTGACAGGCCATTATCTTCGAGATAATCGTTCTGACAGGCTATTATCTCCGAGATAATCGTCCTGACAGGCTATTATCTCCGAGATAATCGTCCTGACCGGCCATTATCTTCAAGATAATCATCTTCACCGGCCATTATCTCCGAGATAATATTCCTGACCGGCCATTATCTCCGAGATAATGGTCCTGACCGGCCATTATCTCCGAGATAATGGTCCTGACCGGCCATTATCTCCGAGATAATGGTCCTGACCGGCCATTATCTCCGGGATAATATGTCTGACAGGTCATTATCTTTGAGATAATGTTCCTGACTGACCATTTTCTCCGAGATAATGGTTCTAACCATCCTTTATTAGCGAGATAATCGTCCTGACTGGTCATTATTTTCAAGACAATCATCCTTAGCGGCCATTATCTCCGAGAAAATTATTCTGACCGGTCATTACCTCCAAGATAATGGTCCTGGCCGGCCATTATCTCCGGGATAATATGCCTGTCAGGTCATTATCTTCGAGATAATCGTCCTGACCGGCAACTATCCCCCAAATAATCATCCTGACCGACCATTATCTCCGAGATAATCATTCTGACCGGCCATTATCTCCGAGATAATCTTCTGAATGGCCATTATCTCAAAGATATTGGTCCTGCCTTGCCATTATATCCCAGAAAATGATCCTGCCTCTCCCTTGTCTTAAAGATTATGGTCCTGCCCTGGCATTATCTCCGAAATATTTTTGGTTTTATTACTTACGTTTCTCCTTCTTCGCTGCCGATGTTACATCCATGCCGCTGCTCTCAAAGATGTCCAACATCTCATAACGCATTGTGGAAATTTCACTCTTCACCTCGTTGATGTCGTCCTCCGTAACGGGATTATCCTCGAACTTACGATGTTGGGCGGCCACATAACGCCAGACCAGAGAACGCATGATGTTCTCATAGGCATTGTCCTGTTCCTTGGCATGACGTTTCTACGATACAACAGAAATGGATTAATAACAACACTCTCCTCCGCCCCCCTTAATGTTATGTAAAAATTGATAGCCACCTACCTTGCTGCGTTTGCGATCAATCTCTTTGCTTGATTTCCTAAACAGCCTAATGAGCCACTTAACGGAGGGCAGAATGTTGAAGGGTGGCGGCAGCGTGGGGCTGTCTTCGAAATAGCTCATCCAGAGTTTGGTACGTGCAAATTTCCATTCGGTATCGGAATGTTCCTGAAAACATTGTTAACAAGGAAAACAACCGCATACTTAGTCAACACAATACAGACACACAAACGGAAGTCATAACAATGTTAAATGCCAAGAATCCCCCTGAAATACACGTGCCCAAATTTCAAAATCGATGGCTGAGATATCCTTGGAGATTGCTTTCACTTGTTGTTTGTCGGTGGCATTGCAAAGAGATTTCTGTTTGGCCCTTAACATTCGAAGTATGTTTGTGTTTTTTTTAAGGGAGAGAGGGGAGGGGGGGCAGTTTGGAACTTACATCAATCATGGCATAGGAATTGGACATCATGGCTATTAGCAGATTCAACAAGACAATCACATTGATGACACTGTACGAACCGAACATGAGCAGACCCCAGAAACGTGTGTAGGATTTAATGCCAGTTAACTCGAAGTCCTCGAGGCCAACCATGCCGAAACTGGCCCAAAACAATGATTGCGAAGATTCGAACAAGCTGCAGAAAAAGGAAGCAAAAAAAGAAAAACAAACATTTGTTGTTGTCAAATCATCAATTTCCTTGTGTCCTTAAAACTGTCATTGGCAGTGGAGTCCAAAGCCTTTCACAGGATGTTTTACAAAGTGGAACTATTTTCCAGAAATTCCCTTAGTCATGACCCAAATATGTACTTACTTGCCAAATCTACGCCATTTCATGCAGGAATCCGAGTGGCCCGCCCAGTCCGCCTCTCCATTGGGTAGAACATAACATTTGCTTTTCTCCAAGTCAGCAAAATACCACAGCAACTGATTTAGGCCACAGGCAAAGGCGAACAAAACCAAGGAGTAGATGAAGAAGAATTTTACAATATCAATGACCATGCGGCCCAGGGAGATTTGCAGGGGACCCAGGTGGGGATTAATCGAGAACATGTGGACCAACTTCAGGGCAGAAAAAACATTGGCGGCGGCAAACAAACCCTCTGCAATCAGCTGGGGATCAAAATCATCCCACTGCTCGCGTGGGACAAAGGCCATTTTAGGGTCCTTGGAAATCTCACGGGATTGTTGGATATAGGCAAAGGTCCTAGAAATTGGAGAAAAGTAAATTTAATTAAAAAAAATCAAAACCTCTTTCCCCCCTTGCCTACCTCATACACATCACACTGATGTACAGACTGTTCCTCAGGAAATCTATGAAATTCCACATATTCCTCAGGTAACATTTCATGCCCACATTGAAGATTTCCTGGACCTCTTCCCACATAAATCCAAAGACATACAGCACCACCAGTAGCTCCAGTTTTGTTGGACCCCGTCCCCGTTGACGCATTTTCTCCTCGAGCAGCTGCTGTTTCATCCGGTCACTGCCCAGTATGCGTATCACATCTTCATCGGCACGCTGGGAGACCAGAATAAGGATAACTGTTGAATGTCAAATGCAGCAGCACCAGAAGCAGCAGCAGGACAATGGCAGGAAATAATGGTGAACGAGAAGAGAAAAACGAAAAAAAAATAACAAATTATGTGACTTGGTTGAGAATCACAGATATTAAATGGCAATCAGAGCGAGAAAGAGAGAAATGGAGAAGATACTTTTTTGGAGAGAGGGGAAGAGAGGAAGAGCTACGGACAAATGGAGACTATGCCACACATATTAAGAACTCTTAAACTAAGTGAAATGACAAGCAGAGTTGGTGAACAATTTAATGAGAAAAATTACCTGACCGCCAACTCTCTGAGAGAGAAATGAAATGTCTCAATGAAAACACTATCTCTAAGGTATTTTTTCTCAGAGATGAAGTCCTAAATTTTATTGGAGAGGTTTTTTTTAGAGAAAACTTTCATTGCTATCCCTTATAATGTCAGAGAAAAGATTTCAATTGGATCTTAAAATATAAAAAAAGACCAGCGACAGGATCTTATCTAGTAACAAACTGACCCTGAGAAGAGGTCAACTCAGGGTAAAACGTTTCCAACTAGGCCTAATATTTGGGAAAACTTAATCCCTTCTTTTAATTACAGAAAAAATAGCTATCCGAACCTTAATTTAAAGAATGGACCTAAAGAAGTTCTCGTTCTACGAAGAGATTATAGGTCGGATCAGCTATTCTCTAAAAGGCAAAATGGAGCTCATCGAGAAACTTCTCGGAGATAATGGAGGTGACTGGCCCTCATCACATAGATAAATGTTTGGGATGGCAAAATTCTCCCAGATAATGATCTCAGAGAGAATAGTCCTGTCATACCATTATCGAAGACATAATAGTCCTGACAGCTGAGATAATGGTCCCGACCAGCCATTTTTTCCGTGATAATGGTCCTGACCAGCAATTATTTCTGAATCAACCATTATTTCTGAGAAAATGGTACTGACCGGCCTGTAATTGTCCTAATCAACCATTATCTTCGAGATAGTCTTCCTGACCAGCCATTATGTTGGAGATGATGATCGTGACTGGCCATTATCTAAGAAATAATGTCCTGACTGGCCAATGACTCAAAGATAATTGTCCTGACTTGCCATTATCTCCGAGATAATTGTCCGGGCTAAAAATTATCTAAGAGATAATTATCCTGACTGGCCATTAACTCCAAGATAATTGTCCTGTTCTGCCATTATATAAGAGATAGTTGTCCTGACCGGTCATTATATCTGTTCTGACCAGCCATTATCTTCGAGATAATATTCCTGACCGGCTAGTAACTCTGAAATATAGTCCTGGTCAGCCTTTATTTCAGCCATAATGCTCCTGACAAGCCAACATCTGCGAGATAATGGTCCTCAATTGCACTACTTTTTAAATATAGAAATCCTGGCCAGCCGTTATCTCCGAGATAATGGTTCTGACGAGCTAGTATCTCCCAGATAATGGTTCTGACCAGCCACTATCTCCAAGATAACAGATCTGACCCCCTTATGTCAGGGATAATAGTTCTGAGCAGCCTTGAGAACTAAAATTGTCCTCGTTTAATATTAAAAAAATATTTTTACAAAATCAAAAAAAAAAAAAATCACGTTTGGCCCTTGAAAAACTATTTTTACAAAATCCACGTTTGGTCCTTAAAAAATATTTTTTTATAAAATCCAGGTTGAGCCTTAAAAAAATATTTTTTTTATAAAATCCACCTTTGGCCCTTTAAAATATTTTCCAAAAAACCACTTTTGGTCCTTTAAAATATTTTCCAAAAAACCACTTTTGGTCCTTTGAAAGAATATTTTTACAAAATTCACGTTTGGTCCTTTTGAAAAAATATTTTTCTAAAATCCACGTTTGGTCCTTTTGAAAAAATATTTTTCTAAAATCCACGTTTGGTCCTTGAAAAAAATATTTTTCTAAAATCCACGTTTGGTCCTTAAAAAAAATATTTTTTACAAAATCCACGTTTGGCCCTTGAAAAAATATTTTTACAAAATCCACGCTTGGTCCTTGAAAAATATTTTTATAAGACCCACTTTTGATCCTTGAAAAATATTTTTTATAAGACCCAAGTTTGATCCTTAAAAAATATTTTTATAAAATCCACGTTTGGTCCTTTTGAAAAAATATTTTCCTAAAATCCACCTTTGGTCCTTGAAAAAATCCACATTTCGTCCTTGAAAATATATTTTTTTAAAATCCACGTTTGGTCCTTGAAAACTTCCACGTTTGGTCCTTTAAAAAATATTTTTCTAAAATCCACATTTGGTCCTTGAAAAATATTTTCTATAAAATCCACATTTTGGTCCTTGAAAAAATCCACGTTTGGTCCTTGAAAAAATATTTTTCTAAAATCCACATTTGGTCCTTGAAAAATAATTTTTGATCTTTGATAAAATCCACATTTGGTCCTTGAAAAAATATTTTTCTAAAATCCACATTTGGTCCTTGAAAAAATCCACATTTCGTCCTTAAAAATATATTTTTTTAAAAATCCACGTTTGGTCCATGAAAAAATCCACGTTTGGTCCTTGAAAAAACATTTCTCTAAAATCCGCATTTGGTCCTTGAAAAAATCCACATTTGGTCCTTGAAAAAATCCACGTTTTGTCCTTGAAAAATCCACGTCTGGTCTTTGAAAAAATCCACGTTTGGTCCTTGAAAAAATATTTTTCTAAAAACCGCATTTGGTCCTTAAACAATTTTTTTTACTACACTATCGATTACTCATTTTTTTCTTTTCATGCTCTTGAATTTCAAAAATAAAAAATAAACATTCTACAGCATCTGATGTTCCCTGTGGTTCGTTGGACTCCTTGGAAGTACCCATTTGTCTTTGGAACTGTAGATTAATTCCCATATAAAGTTGTGGTCGCCATTGTCTTTGCTAGATTATTATTAAATAGTAAATCCTGTTCTATGTATATGTATGTCCCTGTGTGTGTGCGTGGGAAAATAACATGATATCCGTTTTGGTCAAGTACAAGGACATTCTATGTTTCACGCATCCCTACACACACACAAACACTTGGCCACCAACAACAAACTCTGGCACGAATATGCCTTAAGTAGAATAGTAATAGTCTATGATTTGATGGTGTTGGTGTGGTTATGTGGTGGCATCTATATATGTGTGCGTAGGTGTGTATGTTGTATTAGTGTGTGTGTGTGGTTTGTCATGTGGTCAACATTGCGGTGGCAGTATTAAATGTTAGTCTTATGTGATGGCTTAGTGGTTGTCATTTAAATGTAAGAATATCTACATTTATGTGGGGGTGTATGTATGTGTGTGTGTGTGAGTGAGCGAGCGAGAGAGAGAGATAGAGAATGAAAGAGTGTTGATATAAAAACAAAAGAATAAAATACGCTTAGTATGCTTCCATTATCATTATGGCCGAAGCGTCAGATTTTTCCAAACAGTGGATAAAGTGCAAGGATAACAATTGTATCCCCCACTGAATCCTTCTGGGGGGTCATTGCCTCAGAGATATTGGTCCTGACCGGCCATTATTTCAGAGATAAGTCTTCTGAGCATGGATGATGATCCTGAACTTAGTTTCACAACATTTTTTCTTGTCCAGCCCTAATTTGCCTTTATGTCAACGGAAAAATTCCTCTCCGGAGTCCTTGGTTTTAAATTCTTCTCTGTTATTAAATTCTTCCCTTCAAGCTGCAAACGAGGATTTTTTAAACGCACTTTCGAAGGATATTCAGAGCTACAAACGTGGTTTTCTTAAAAAAAAACTTTTCAAGGACCTGCCAGCTACAAACGTGAATTTTTAAACAAATTTTTCAAGGACCGCCAAAACTAATTTTTCAAGGATCTTACTTGGAAGAGATGGGGATTTTTTAAACAAATTTTCCGAAGACCTCCCAAGCTACAAACGTGGATTTTCTTAACAAATTTTTCAATGACCTTCCAAGCCATAAACGTGGAAAGCTTCTGATCGACCACTGTTACATAGATAAGGGTCCTAATGGTTCTCAGGGATGATGATCATGAACTTTTATTGTCTCGCAACTTTTCTTCTCGACCAGCCCTAAATTGTCTTCATCTCAGCAGAAAAATTCTTCTCCGGAGCCCTTCTTGGTTTTTAAATTCTTCTCTCCAAGCAACAAAAGAGGATTTTTTAAACGTACTTTACAAGGATATTCAGAGCTACAAACGTGGTTTTCTTAAACAGACTTTTCAAGGACCTGCCAGCTACAAACGTGCATTTTTAAAAAGAATTTTTTAAGGACATCCAAAATTAATTTTTTAAGGATCTCCCAAGCAACAAACGGGGATTTTTTAAACAAATTTTCCGAAGACCTCCCAAGCTACAATCCCGGATTTTTCAAATAAAATATTCAAGGATCTTTTTTTCAAACAAATTTTCCGAAGACCTCCCAAGCTATAAACGTGGATTTTCTTAACAAATTTTTCAAGGACCTCCCAAACCATAAACGTGAACAGCTTCTGATCGCCCACTGTTTCATAGATAAGGGTCCTAATGGTTCTCAGGGGTGATGATCATGAACTTATATTGTCTCACAACCTTTTTCCGGTCCAGCCCTAATTTGCCTTCATCTCAGCAGTAAAATTCCTCTCCGGAGTCCTTGTTTTTAAATTCTTTTCTTGTGTTTTGTTCTTTCCGCCCACTGTTCCCACCACTCAGTTATCATCATTGTGGTTGTATTACATGGAGTGATGCTGTCGTCGGTTTATGAGATTAGATAATGTCCACAAATGGTTTTAAGACAGCATCATCTTCTATTCCGGGTTTCCGTCCCTCAACCCACCCCCCATTCACAGTTGTTGAGAACCAGTAGAGTCATCATGTCATTTAAACAAATAGAAAAACATAAAGACCTCTGCCTCTCAACCCCAACACAGCTAGCCGAACCTCAACTATTCCTCATGGCAAACATAATGAGGAGGAAGTGGATTTTCCGGGGAGGAGAGAGTACAAGGAAGCTCCCCAAAGGATATGGGGTACAAGTAAATATGTTTTCATTTAGTTTGAGTATATGTCTTCCTCCCCCCTCTCCTCCTATATTCCCCTCTCTAAACATTGCTCTATTAATAATTCTCTCTGTGATAAATGAGTGAGCGAATGAACCAAAAACTTGAAAATTGAAAATGTGGCTGTCATTTACCAGCTTTTCCATTTCTCCTTTAAAGCTCCTGAATGCTATTCAATTATGCTCACGATTTTGTTTGGTCTGACAAACAAAGATCTCGTAAAAAAAATCTTTGTGACGGTTCTACTTACACAAGAAGAAGAGATACGACGAGGCATGAATGAGAAACTTCATGAAAGGTTTACGCATTAGCACACCGGTCTTGCAATTGGGCGCCACCATGTAGATCATACAATAGATGGGAAACAACACGGCCACCTGGGCAATGCAAATCATTTTCTCCAACAGAGATTTGCGGCGGAAGCCGGGTAGGCCTTCATACCAAATGGCCGAGAGCAATTGTTGGATGTTGGAATGGGCCACGAACTGGAGGGAATAAATCCAAAAATTTATAATTTTTTTCTAAATTTTCTCTCTACACCAAACCCACCTTTTTCTGCTTATAATACACCGCCTGGGTCAGACGCGACAAGGACATGCGATCACCTGGCTGATATGTTGACATATCCGGATCATAGTTCAAAATTATGGCCAGTTCATTGGAGGTACGAGTTTGATCGAGTAGATCAACGGCAAACTGTTGACATTGGCGACGCAGCTCCACATATTCCGATTTGGATTCCTGGACACAAATTTTTAATATTTTTCTGGATTTATTATCTTTTTTGTGGGTCTTACCTGTTCAGTAATCGATAAATTCCTTAGATCCCAGGATAGCTGAAATGATGTTATAATGGGATCATGGGAGGTCAAACAGATCAGCGATGGACTGGAAAGGGCACGATAAATATTCACACGAGACAAGGAATGGCGCAGCGAATCTTCGATGGACATGCGGACACATTCGTCACAACCACATCTGGAAATCAGGAAAAATTTAAAAAAAATATGGGATTAGAAAAAAGATATTTGTAGGAAAAATCTTGGATTTCTAATCATATTTTTAAGGACCAGGACAATAGTTTTTCAGGGACCTTCCGAGGCCAAACATGATTATTTAAAAAATCTTCTGGAGGACCTACAGAGATTCAAATGTGGATTTATTTATAATATTCTCTCAAGGACCCCTTCGAAAGGAAAACATGGATCTTTTGAACAAATTTTTCAAGGACCTCTACAAACATGAATTATAAATGAAAATTTTCAAGGACATCCTGAGCTATAAGCGAGTTTTATATATTTTTTCAAGGACCTTCTAAGCTGTAAGCTTGGATTTTAAAATTTAATTTTTCAAAGACCTAATGTAGCTTCTTTTTAATTTTTTTTTCAAGTACCTTCTAAGCTATAAGCGTGGATTTTTTAAATATATTCAAGGACATTCTAGGCTATGAACGTAGATTTTCTAAATATATTTAATTAAGGTCCTTCTAAGCTATATACGTGGATTTTTTAAATATATTTCTAAATTAAAAAGAGTGTATTTTTTATTTTTTTTTTCAAGGACATTCGTGGATTTTTTAAATATTTTTAAAGGACTCAAGCCATAAACGTGGATTTTTTTAAACAAAATTTTTCTAGGACATCCCATGCCATAAACGTGGATTTGTTAAGCAACATTTTCAAGGACCTCCCAAGCCATAAACGTGGATTTTTTAAACAAAATTTTTCAAGGATCTCTCAAGCCATAAACTTGGAGTTTTTAAACAAAATTTTTCAAGGACCTGCCAAGCTACAAACGTGGATTTTTTAAGCAAAAATTTTCAGGGACCTCCAAGGCACGAAACGTGAATTTTTTAAACAAAATTTTTCAAGGACCTCCCAAGGCACGAAACGTGAATTTTTTAAACAAAATTTTTCAAGGACCTCCCAAGCCATAAACGTGGATTTTTAAACAAACTTTTTCGAGGACCTCCCAAGCCATAAACGTGGATTTTTAAACAAACTTTTTCGAGGACCTCCCAAGCCATAAACGTGGATTTTTAAACAAACTTTTTCGAGGACCTCCCAAGCCACAAACGCGGATTTAATAAACAAAATTTTTCAAGGACCTCCCAAGCCATAAACGTGGATTTTTAAACAAACTTTTTCGAGGACCTCCCAAGTCACAAACCTTGATTTTTAAACAAACTTTTTCGAGGACCTCCCAGGTCACAAACCTTGATTTTAAAACAAAATTTTTTAAGGATCTCCCAGGCCACAAACTTGGATTTTTTAAACAATATTTTTTAAGGACCTCCCAAGCCATAAACGTGTATTTTTTATACAATTTTTTAAGGACCTCCCAAGCTACGAATGGAGATTATTTAAACAAATTTTTCAAGGTTCTCCCAAGCAATAAATGTAGATTTTTTAAACAAATTTTTCAAGGACCTCTAAAGCCAGAAATGTCGACTTCAAAAAAAAGAAAATTTTCAAGGACCTCCCAAGCCTTAAACGTGGATTTTTTAAACAATTTTTTTAAAGACCTCTCATGCCTTCTTTTAAACAAATTCTATAAGGACCTCCCGAGCTTCAAAGTAGATTTTCTAAACAAAATTTTCAAGGACCTTTTTATTAACAATTTCATCAAGGACCTCTCGAGCTACAAAAGTGGTCTTTTTAAACAAATCTTTCTACGACCTCCAAACTACAAACAAGGATTTTTTAATGAAATTTTTCCAGAGAGCAGATTTTTGAAAAAAAAAATTTGCAACAACATTTTTAAGGACCTTATAAGCCATAAACTTGGATTTTTCAAAGGAATTTTTGAAACAACATTTTTCAAGGAACTCCCAAGCCATAAACGTAGATTTTTAAAAACAAATTTTTTAAACAAATTTTTCCAAGGACCTCCCGAGCTACAAATGTGAGTTTTCCAAAAAAAAATCAAGAACCTCTCAAGCTACAAATTTGAGTTTTCCAAACAAATTAAGAAATGTGAATTTTTTAAAACAATTTTTTCCAAGGACCTCCCTAGCTACAATCATGGATTTTTAGGACAAATTTTTCAAGGACCTTAAAAATAATTTTTTAAGCACCTCCCAAGCTACAAACGTGGATTTTTGAAAAAAAATTTCAAATGACCTTAACAAATATTTTTTCAAAGGCCTCCCAGACAAGAAACGTGGATTTTTTAGACAAATTTTCAAATGGCCTCAAAAATATTTTTTTCGAAGTCCTCCCAGACAAGAAATGTAGATTTTTTAAACAAATTTTCAAAGGGCCTCCAAAATATTTTTTTCAAGGTCCTCCCAGGCAAAAAACGTGGATTTTTCAAACAAATTTTTCAAGGGCCTCCAAAAAATTTTTTCAAGGTCCTCCCAAGCAAAAAACGTGGATTTTTTAAACAAATTTTCAAAGGGCATCTAATAAATTTTTTTCAAGGTCCTCCTAGGCAAGAAACTTGGATTTTTTAACCAAATTTTTAAAGGACCTTCAAAATAATTTGTTCAAGGACCGCCCAAGACATAAACCTAAATTTTTTATCCAAATTTTTAAAGGACCTGCAAAATAAATTTTTCAAGTACGTCCCAAACCATAGAGCTGACTTTAAAAAAAAAAAATTAAGTACCCGCGTGTAGCTTACACGTAGACTTTTTAATCAAATTTTTAAAGGAAATCCAAAATATTTTTCTCAAGGACCTCCCTGGCAAGAAATGTGGAATTTTTAAGAATTTTTTCTAGGACCTTTTAAGCTATAAACATGGAATTTTTAAACTGATTTCAAAGGACCTTCCACATTCGTTTTTTTAAGGACAATCGTATGAGTGTGGATTTTTTAAACATTTCTTGTTGATCCAAGCTATGAACGTAATTAATCATTTCATGACAATTTTTCTTTAAGGAATTCACTATTACAAATTTTTACTCTTTTCAGGGTATTTTCTCTCACTCAAATGACGAAGAATGTAATGTGTTTTTTTTTTTTTCTTCCGCAACTCACCTGATATCATGCGGTACCGGAACGGCCGCACCTCTGTCCAAAAGAATTTTCAGAATTTCAAAATTGTTTTTGTGAGCTGCCAGTATCAAAGGTGTTATATCCGGCGGAAACATGGCGGTATTAATGTCAACTTTTTGCCAACTCTAAAAAAAGAACAAAAAAAGAAAAAAAACTCGGCATTAAAACAAAGGAAACTTCTTGGCGGAACTGCCAAAAGAATAACAAAGTGAATATGAAAGCAAGGAGGGCAACAAAAAAAAGAAAAAAAAACAATTTTCAGTGAAATAGAAAATTTTCTATGTGTGTATGTGTGTGTGAGCCTTTAAAGATACGAGTTGAGATAACTTCTAATTCAGTAGCAAAAATGCGAATCATTTTTGTTTGCCAAGAGTAGCAGCAGCAACAAAAAATGAAAAGCTTAGTTGTCTGTCTCTGGAGCTTTGCAATTTCTTCTCTCTAAACATGCCATTCATACGTAAGAAAAAATGAAGTCAAGGGCGTATGAATTAGTCCCTTCCCCCTTCTTCCACCATCCTTTGCCCCCTATACCGTAATGCATGAAAAATTAAAATTCTCTTTTTTTTTAAACGACCGAGCAAGTCCTTATCGCATCTCAAGCATCATAGAAGTTAAAGTAGTAGTAGCAGCAGCAGCAGCAAAAACGTAACTAAAACGTAACATTTGTGGTACATTAAGTGCCTAATCAAGCAAACATTCATGTCATTTTTTCGTTGGATTTGTCATGCAACTTTTTTGCTGTTGCCGTTGTTGTTGTCATCGTTCCGTATCCTTAAAGGCAGAGAATAAAAAAAGACGTACACATCCACAAATGACTAGGCAGGAAAAATGCTTAGCCCAATTGTGAAATATCGTTGTAGTTGTTGTTGTTCTTTTGTGTGTGTGTGTGTGTGTCTCTTTTCTTGGGAAAGGCATTACAAAGCAGAAAAGATGGAAAGCAGAGAGAAGTTGAGAGACGAAACTAAATTACCCAGGACTATGAAGGTATATTGTCAGCGTTTTAAATCATTTGTTCCAGATATGTGAAATATTTGTGACAAGGTATTCTGGGGGAAGATTTAAGAACCAATGGGGAAATACAAAGAAGTTTAAAAAGAAAAATCTGACCTTTTTGAGGAAAACATTTCATAGGGCAAGGATCAAATTTTTTTTATGATAGCAATGTAATTAAATCTATAAATTTTACAACTTTAAAAGTTTGCGACAAAACCTATGCACACTGATAGTTATGGCATCTCCCTATCCCGCTCTCCCACATGTTTGGGTCAATGGGGTGGGTGTTCTCTCAAATGACATAAGACACCCAATATAGGGCCAAAACATATTTTAGAAGATATTTTAGGCTGCGAGAAGACCATTTCTGTGATTTTCTTGGAATTTTTCTAAACAAATTTTTCCAAAAAAAAAAAAAAAATCCGGGCTATTAACTCAAAGTTAAGGAGTGGTTAATAGCCTATTTTTGGAATTTCTAGAAGATTTCTTTTTTTGTTAGAATGATGTCCATCCTCCATAAATTCTGTGTGTTTGAAAGGGATCCGTAAAAGCCATATGGATCTATAAAAAGCCTCATTTTTAAATGTCACTGAATAAATTATTTCCAGGTCCTTCCAAGCTATACGATGATGATTTTTATGTATAGAGGGTGAGATGAAAAAACTACAACCAACTTCAGACTGGTGTCGTTTCTAAGTCACTCGTCCGATAGCTGTTAAAATTATTCCAGTGACAGCTCATTATATTGTTTACAAGCGTACAATAGCATTTTGCTGAGAATTTTCCAGAAAAAAAGTTATTCGTGATGGAACTCAAGCGTGATAGTGTGATTTCTTTATATTTGGCTGGAAAACCACCAACCATGTGGCTATCGTTAGAGCACTCCGGCGTTTAAATGTGAATTAATCTTTTGTGTCTCGTACCATCACTCGTTACCGTGATACTGATACGCTTCTTACCCGACGTCAAGGAAGTGGACGAAAGAAAACAACAACCATATGTTGCAGAAATGGTTCGAAAAGTAAGTAAGCGACTTGATCGAAACCCTCGTTGCAGTGACCGAAAAATGGCTCGTGAGCTGAACATATCACAATATTCCATTCGGCAAATATTCAGAAAGGAGCTCGGTCGGGGTAAAGCCATTGAAATTCCAAAAAGTGCCAGAACTTACACCGAAACAGAAAAAAAAATAAACTCAAAAGGGTTAAAGAGTTGCTTTGTTGAGTTCCTTAACCGAAAGTGCTGAACTGCCGAATTTCGTTTCCTCCGATGAGAAAGATTCGTTGTCGACCAGTTTGTAAACAAACAAAATGATCGTTTTCACTTGCCAAAGAGGTCAGCTGAAAAAGTGCACCTTCGGTTGGCCACCAGAACTCAAGCGCCGGCCATGGTGATGATGTGGGCGGCCATGACAGCCGATGGCTGCTCTCCGCTTTTATTAATCGGCCGTGGAATTAGAATAAATGTCGAATATTATAGCGAAAATATTCTGGAGGGCGTATTAAAGCCTTGGGCACCAACATTTTGGCCGCAGAACTTGGACATTGCAACAGGACTCAGCATCATCACACTCAACACGCCACCGCCACCCAAGAATGGTTACAAAATGAGGTTCCTCCCTTCATTTCCAGCGCACAATGGCTACGAAAATCTCCGGATACCAATCCGTTGGACCTGTTGTGTCTGAAGTATTTTGGAAAGCAAGGTTGGCACTAAAAAAAAGTACCAAAGTGTCGATCACCTCAAGCAAGCGCTTCACCGGGAGTGGACCAAAATACCGCAGAGTAAAATTCGGACAGCGTGTGGCCGTTTGGTTTCTTTGGCCGTTTGAAGGCCACAATTCGTGACAAAGGTGACCAATTCGAACAAATCTAAACTTATTCTAAAACTGATGCTATTTCCGACATTTTTTGCTTTCATTCAATAAAATTTAAGACAAAATGTAAAATTATGGCGTTTGACTTTGTTGCAGTCATTTCTTCAAGGACCTTCTAAGCTATAAGCTTGGATTTTTTAAAATATTTTTTCCAAGGATTTAACATGGATTTCTGGAATATAATTTAAATATATTTTTTCAAGGAGCTTTTAAGTCATGAAACATTTTTCTTTTTTAATATATTTTATAAAGGACCTATTTTTTCAATGACCCTATGTAGATTTTCTGAACATATTCTATCAAGGACCTTCTAAGCGAGGATTTTTTAAATAAATATTTTCAAGGATCTAATATAGATATCGTTTAGGTAATATATAGACTTTGTATATTTTCTCCGACAGGTAGTAAAAATTTATGGCAATTAATTTTGTGGAAAATATTGACTTGCTAGGATCACGTTTAAAGGATGTTTTAACCATAATCTCTATTTTGATTACTTTGTAACGTAAAAACGCCGATGTAAGTGTTTTCTATTTTTCCTCTGTTGGAATTCCGCTGGCTTTTCCCGGAATTATTTTTTGTGCTGAACAGTGGACTCAGAAACACACATTTGCCCCATTAATATTGTGTTTCTTTTTAAAATGTATTTGAGCGCCTAAAACTATGTTATACATACATGTAAATCTGGAAATAGTCACTTTACATATGATTCTAACACAATCTGGTGCTTTTTTCCTGCAATTAATTTTTGTGTTGTCCTGTGTAATCAGAAACGCCAGTCGTATGTTAATATAAAGTGTTTCTGTTCAGGTGAGAAAATTCTGTGTATCGCCTAAAACTATGCTATAGATTTTAAAAATAAATGTGGAATTAGTCACATTACATATGACATTAACATGAAGTGTAATATTGCCCTGTGTCACTATTTAGCATTAATACAATATGGATCGCATCAATACAAGAGAAAGCCAAGGATGCGATAGTGATTTATCCTTGTGATGATATTAATCTTCATGATGTATAGGAAAATGGTGAGCTCCGATTCCTATAATCCAAGGACTTTCAAATTAATTTTCAAATTTTCACAAAGTCCCCGATTCAACTATAAGAGCTTCACCAGGAATGAATCACCCTCGATATATTTGTGGAGATTTTTAAAATTTTTTACAAAGTCTCTTTGCCAACGAAGTTTTACAGCTTTCCAAGTTCCTCATTTTCTTTCAACGAATTTTTTTTTAAAAATAAAATCAATAAAAAAATAATAAAGACAAAAAAATCTAAGGAATTAGCACCTCCTCCCTACCTCTCCCAATGTTCCACTCTCTTCATTGAAGAAAGAGGAACAGAAAATTTGTACGAGACGATGGTGTTGATGACACACCACAAAAGGAAAAAAGAAAATTTTCCAACATATCCCACAGGCATTGTTATGATGTCTTTCCCCCAGAAAAAAACGTGTCTAATGACTGATGTCTAATTAAAGATTAGGCAAAGAAGGGTAGTTTTGTCAGCTTCTGCTTCCTGCCCTGGGCAAAAAACTAATTTCTTCCGAAGCAGTGGGTAAACTTCAAATATGCTTTAAATTTTGTTGCCATCGATAAGACACATATTCCGTTTTGTTATCTTGTCCTCTCTTTGTTTCTCGTTTTTTTTTTTCTCATGCACTTACATATAGGTCACCCTCTTTGTATATCAACTCTTCATGTTCCAGTAGAAGCTCCACAGCCTCGACAAATTCCGCATTGATGGCATGCAGCAGGGCATCCTTGGTCTCCACACCCATGATTACCAGCAACTCAACCATTTCCAGATTTTCATTATCGATGGCCAGGGTGAGGGCACGCCGGCCCAGGGGGTCCATGCAATTGATGTTGATGTGGTGTTTGCGATGGGCTTTTTGAAGGATTCTAGAAAAGCGAGAGAAACAAAAACTTTAGTTACAAGGTTTTTTCAAATATTTCCAATTAATTTTTAGAAATAAATTGTTGCTATTCTAAACTCAGGAAATTGTTGCCAACATTTATTCTCATAAAAAATTTAAAAATAAATTCGCCCAAAAGTATGCTTTTGATTTTTCAGGTAATTACCTGCCATTGCTACACAATCAACCAAATGTGGAGAAACTTTTAGTTTTAGTTTTCCTCCAAAAAAACCAATGTCTGATATTTGTACTGCCACAAAATTACTTCGATTGAAAAAGAGCATCACAATTATGCTCCATGCTTTTGCTTTTGCTTTTGCTTTTCCTTTTTTTAATTTTTCTTTGCCTTTTCATAAAGTTTCAAATCAATAGAAAAGTTCATATTTAAATTTGCAAAGGAAGGTTGTTGAAAATTTTCTCTTGACTTCGTTTCAAATTTTCTCCAAATTGCAAGGTAAACTGTTTAGGAGGAGGTGGAGGAGGAGGAGGCAAAACAAAACTTTTAATTAGATGCCTTATGGCTGGGAAAATGAAGAAGAAACAGAAAATTAGAATGAGATAGTTGGTGGGAGGAGAAGGAGGAGAAAGGGAAGTGTTTTCACTACTTCCCCTTAAATTTTCGTGGGGGAGAAGCCTCTTTAGTCTGTTCCTGAAAACATGGACAATTTTATGTTAGCTGAATTTTTATCACAAAATATATTTAAAAATTAAAATCATAATTCCTCAAAATGACAAGCTCTCCATAGAAAATCGAAATATAAGCTTTCATCTTCCCCAGAAATCTAGATTCGCAGAAATTGCAGATATTTTTATGTCCCACCAAAAAAAAAAAACAAGGAAAAATTTTTCCCCCTCCCCTCTACCCATCACCTGTCCTTAACAACTTTATTCCGTAGCCATATCATTAAAAAGTTGTTTGTCCCTCTTCTGTTTTGTCTTCCTCTTTGAAATTTGCGCTAAATTACAAAGTAAATAAATTACTTTAGAACAACTGGCGGCATTTGACTTTCTCTTTAATTTATTTACTTTGTTATGTTATCGCTTGTTGCCCCCTCTCCCCCTCAACAAAAAATAAAACTTCATTTGTCATCTTCTCCGGCAGCAGGTATTTTTGTGTTGGTAATTTATTTTAATAAGTTTTGCCTAAAAGTATGCTTTAATGTTATGAAAATAAGGTCAGAGAAATGTTTACTTATTTTGTTCTTAAATTTGATTGATATTTATTTACAAAATGGTACGGAACATTCTAAGTACAATTGTTTGAAAATTTTGCTTCTCACAGTACAATATTTAGTAGATTTCGGTACGAACTTCCAAGAGATCTACCCCATCCCTGTAGTTAGTATATCCAAGTCATCAAAATACAATAATTTCAGGCCAGATTTCAAATTTTGTTAATTTTGTTTAAAGTGGATTTTTGCACATTAATTTTTTGGTATTTTTATAGCATGCAAAAACTGCAACCAACTTCAGACTCCTGTCATTTCTAAGCTACTCGTCCGTCAGTTGTTAAAATTATTCCAGTGACAGCTCATTATATTGTTTAAAAGCTTACAAAGGTATTTTGTTGGGACTTTTCCAGAAAAAAAAGTTATTCGTGAAGGAATTCGAGCGTGATAGTGTGATTTCTTTATATTTGGCTGGAAAACCACAAGTGGCTATCGTTAGAGCACTCAATTTAAATGTGAATAAATCTTTTGTGTCTCGTTACCGTGACACTGGTAGCGTAGCCCGACGTCAAGAAAGTGGACGGAAGAAAACAGGAACATCAGCAGAAATGGTTCGAAAATAAAGAAGCGACTTGATCGAACCCCGCAGTGGCGTCGCAGTGGCCGAAAAATGGCTCATTAGCTGAACATATTGCAATATTCCATTCAGCAAATATTGAAAAATGAGCTCGGGGTAAAGCCATTGAAATCCCAAAAAGTGCAAGAACTTACACCGCAACAGAATGAAAATAGACACAAAAAGGAGCTAAAGAGTTGCTTCGTTGAGTTGCTTGGCCGAAAGTGGTGAACTGACGAATTTGGTTTTCTCCGATGAAAAAACATTCGTTGTCCAGCAGTTTGTAAACAAGCAAAATGATCGGGCTTACCTGCCAAAGAGGTCAGCTGAAAATGTACACCTTCGGTTGGCCACCAGAACTCAAGCGCCGGCCCTGGTGTGATGGTGATGGAGTGGGCCGCCATAACAGTCAATGGTCGCTCTCCGTTCGTATTAACCGACCGTGGCATTAGAATAAATGCCGAATATTATCGCGAAAATATTCTGGAAGGTGTATTTAACCCTTGGGCACGCAAACATTTCGGCCGCAGACCTTTGACATTTAAACAGGACTCAACACCATCGCAACCACTCATCACGCACCACACAAGAATGGTTACAAAATAAGGTGCCTCGCTTAATTTCCAGTGCATAATGGCCACCAAAAATCTTCGGATACCCATCCGTTGGACTATTGTGTCTGGAGTATTTTGGAAAGCTAGGTTGGCACTAAAATATCGATCACCTCAAGCAAGCGCTTCGCCGGGAATGGACCAAAATACCGCAGAACAACATTCGGGCAGCGTGTGACGGTTTCATTGGCCGTTTGAAGGCCATAATTCGTGCCAAGAATGACCAATTCGAACAAATCTAAACTTATTCTAAAATTTTATGCTATTTCCGACATTTTTTGCTTTCATTCAAAAAAATTTAAAAAAAAAATGTAAAAACTATGGCGTTTGACTTTGTTGAGGTTTTTTTATATATATCATATCGCTTCCAGGACTTATAGATACCTAAAAAACTACGTTGTACCATTTTGTACCTTAAAGTACTTTTCATACCCTTGAAGTACGAATTTCCAAAAAGTCCGCCTTATTTCATTTCTCATGTAACTGAAAAATTTGAAGCACTGCTATTAATTTATCGATCTCTTCTAAAGCCGTAAAAAATATTACTCCATTTGGTACAGTTTATTTCTTTTTAGGGCGACTTTTTTTAAACAAAATGAGAATTATTCTTGCCGAATTTTAAAGTTCCATCTCTCCCCGATATTTTAATAGCAACGTTGGACGTTTTTGTACTTTTGAAGTGCGAATTTGTAAAAATTCTGACTTTTTTCACCAAAGAGTGGTTGTTATGCAAAAATGTTCATTTCTTTCTAACTTATTTTAAAGTATGAAACTTCAAATTCGGCTTACCTCACCTAATATACAAAAAATTATCTTTTATCAATCCATAAATAGCAAGGTTAGGACATTTTCTTATTTTAGAACTTTTTTTAGTACCCTTAAAGTACGCATTCCTAACAATCCGGTCTTAGCCCAACTTGGATTAATTAATTAATCCAAATTAATTATTTTGTACCACTAGTAACCAGTTAAAAAACGATCCCATGCTAAATGTTCTAGTTCTTTCCGTTTCTATTGGAACTTTTCATACCCTTGTAGTACGAAACTCTAAAAGTCCAACCGTATCTTGTCTTAATGAACAAAAAATAATCCCTCTATAAACTTTCCAAGTTTTAAGACGTTCAGATCCAATAACATATTGTACATTTTGTATTTTTTTTTTTTTTTTTTTTTCAGAAACAAAAAATTCTAGAAATTCATTTTTAGTCACACCTTTACGTCAAAATTTGAGCTTCTCCCAAAATTGTACTACAGCTACAGCTTTGGTACTTTTGATTCCCTTAAAAAAACAAATTTTTGAAAAATAACACTACACCAGATCTCTAGGCATCATAAACTCAATAGAAACTGTTGTACCATTTGAGAATTTTCGTGCCATTAATATACGAATTTCCAAAAGTCCTCTAAATCAAGAACAAAGAAGAAGAATATTCCTCTAAATCTAGAATAAACCACACGAAGTTATCAGAGCTAGTACTATTTTTCACCTTCTTGTACTTTTCGTTCCCTTTTCAGATGCGAAATTCCAAAAATCCCGTCTTATCTCACCCCTGTACTTCTAGACTCATCCCCATTTCACCTGTATCTTTTTACCCTACTTTTTCATAAAAGTCCTTAAATATTTTCTTGTCTCTTTTCCCCTGTCATCAGGTATTTTTTTTACAGAAAATTTTATAAAAAGGATAAAAATGTTAATAATTTTCCCCAAATAAAATGTCAAGGTTTTATTTACTATTAAAAAATGCCCGCCTTCAAGAAAATATCCTTTTCAACAAAAGCATTTTTTACCCTCCACCATACTATGGAGAGTATATTAACCTTGTCATTCCGTTTGTAACTCCTCGAAATACTTATGTCATACCCAACAAAGTATATATATTCTTGATCAGCGTAAAATTCTAAGTCGATTTAGCGATGTCCGTCTGTCTGCATGTTTATCTGTCCGTCAGGTCTGTCTGTTGTAATCACGCTATCTTTCGAACGAATTAAGACAGAAGGCTAAAATTTGGCACACATATTTATTTTTCAAGTAGGTAGGTTAAGTTCGTAAATGGGCCATGTAGGTCCACGTCTTCGTATAGGCCCAATATATCAGTACCTCCCTATATTCGGTATTTTGACGATTTTAGCGACATTATTCAACGGAATTGTTTCAAATTACATATTTAGAGTTCGTAATGGGAACTACAGCCTGTGACAGAAAATTGTCTTTGCTGGTCCAGGTCTTCGTATAAGGCCCATATATCAGTACCTCCCAATATTCGGTATTTTGATGATTTTAGCGTCATTATTCGCCGGAATTGTTTCGAATTTGGTATTTGAAGTTCGAAATGGATACTACAATCTGTGACAAAAAATTGTCTATGCAGGTCCAGGTCTTTGTATAGGCCCCATATATCAGAACCCCCCTATATTCGGTATTTTGACGATTTTAGGTACAATACCCACCGAAATTGTTTGAGATGTCGGATTTTTCAGTTCATAAGGGATGCTACAGCCTGTGACAGAAAATTGCCTATTCTGGTCCAGGTCTTCGCACAGCTCCGATATAAGGGTACCTCCCTATATGCCATATTATGATGATTTTAGC